ACCCTGAAGAGTCTTGGTGTGGCGCTGTGGGCTAGTGCATCAGGCTGCAAGTTCAGTGGTTCAAGCTCACCAGCTTCTCTTTGGAACCCCTATACAGGGTTGCTATGGGTCGGAATCGACTTGATGGCACTTAACAGCAACAACCCTGATTGAGTAAAGGAGCTTTGGTGGTGTAGTGGTTTACACGTTTGGATGCTAACCACAAGGTCAGAAGTTTGAATTCAGCAGCTGCTCCGTGGGAGAAAGATGAGGCTTTCTGCCTCCACAACGAAACCCTATACAGGGTCCCTGTGAATCAGAACCAACTCTCTGGCACTTAAGAAGAAAAATCATCCTGATTGGGAGTCCTAGTGTGACACTGTAGGATAAACACTGAATGCTAACCTCAAAGTCTGGAGGTTCGAACCTATCAGCCACTCCTTGAAAATCCTGCATAGAGTTGCTGTAAGTCAGAACCAACTCGACAGCACTTAACAACTCTAATTGAAACAAATAATTTTTTTTTCTTATCGTGGCAGCTTCATGGGTATGTTGTTAGGTGCCATCGAGTCAGTTCTGACTCATAGCGATCCTGTATAGATTTCTGAGGAGCGGCTGGTGAGTTTGAACCGCTGATATTGCAATTCAAACTGACCTTGTGGTCGAGTGCTTATCCTACAGCGAGCGCCACATCACAACTGGGTAGAGCAGTTTCTTTTTTTTTTTTTATGGTCTGGTGAAAAATATCGAGTCAAGATTCTGAGATCTTAAAAGATAATTCTTATTATAAGAATCAAAATATATCAGTGGAGATAAAAAATATATATAATTATCCTGTTCTTCCCCACTACCTTCCCAGGGTCCTTTGTAATGGCCCTGTTATAACTCTTTCCACATTGTGTTCGAATTATTGATTTGCCGCCTGACTTTCTCAAGGTCCCTGGGGTTCCTCAAGGGCAGGAAATTTTTTCCATTTATAGAAAAAAATTCTTGTGTGATAAGGAGATGTTTGTTTTTCTACTGTTTGTCCAGTTTGTGTTGATAGACAATGAGGACATTTATTTCTGGATAAGGCTGCCAAGTATGTGCGTGTATATATGTACGTGCACGCACATTTGTTCACGGGCTTGTCAGATGTGTGGGGTATCGTGTGTGTGACACTGTGAGGTGTAAGGTGTGAGGGTCAAGGACTTGTGATTATGGGCATGTGATTCGAAGGAGGGTCATGTGTGACTGTGTGTTTCTCTAGAACTTTACGTCAAATAGGTGTCTTCATTCTATGTATGCTGTTCTCTAGAACTCACCACTGAGAATGGGAAGACCATCTGTGGCTGACTGTGTGGCCCTGGATGTGGAGTCTGTGTTCAGTCCTGGGTCTACCATGACTTCTGTAGGATGCTGGCAATATGCTGCAGTTCAGCAAGTCCCTGGCTCTGTCATCAAGACACTCCTGAGGCTCACAGTCCTCCCAGGTGGGTAACACTCTAGGTACCTGTGCAAGACTGTGTGTCCCTGTGACCGGAGAGCATGGACTCTGGATTCCAGAGGTCGTGGAGTCTTGCTGGGAAGTTAGCAGCTGGAGATTAGATTTGAAGGGTTCATGGCGAGGAGAAGGAGCCAGATCTGGCAGGGTCTCAGAATCACTATAAGAATAATCATAATCATTCTCATTTATTGAGTGCCTACTGAGTGCTGGGCACTGTCCTTATTTATATATTTCTATTTATATGACTATACTAACTCATATTGCACATTAATATTTGTGTTTATAGTAACAATGATTATGTGGATTGTTCGTCATGTTTATGAATCATATTTTGTGACCATCGTTATCATTGATTTCGTAGAGTGTACAATCTCACTGAAGTTATGAGAAAACTGAAGCGCAGAGAGGTAAATTCACCTGCCCAAAGTCACTCAGCAAACAGGTGGCAGAGTCAAAATTTGAACCCATCTCTGAGAATTTCAAAGCTCTTAAACCACTGCACTATTCTGTCCAGGGTGGGAGACACATAGCATTCCTTTACTAGCTCATAAGAATAGGACCTGGCCCTACTCTAAGAGTTATTAAAGGGATTAATTCATTTGCTCCTTGGTGCTGTGGAATAAAAGCACTGGACGCAAGATCAGTTTGAACCACAACGTTGGTGGGTCAAACCCACCAACTGTTCCTTGGAAACCCTATACAGGGTCGCTGTGAATTGGAACCAACTCAACAGCACTTCACAACAACAAGACAGATAATATCATTGTTTCTACAAGGTCCCAAAGGGTAGAATCGCCTTCAAAAGCCCATAGCCGAGCTGACACTTAGCCCTCATACTTTCTATATTGTTGTTAAGTGCTGTCAAGCCGCTTCAAACTCATAGCAACCCTGTAAAGAATTTCTGAGGCTGTGAATCTTTGCAGGAGCAGAAAGTCTCATCTTTGTCTCATAGAGCAGCTGGTGGATTTGAACTGCTGACCTTGTGGTTTGCAGTCCACTGCTTATTCTACAGAGCCACCTCACTCTTCCTTGTAGTCATTCCAACAATCCTATGGTATAAGACTAGCTACTACCCATTTTACAGATGAGGAAACTGAGGCTCAGACTTGCACTCACATCAAGCCACAGACTTGAACCTTTGTCTGTCTGATCCTACAAGACATCCACACTCCTGACCCCTGTTTTTGTCTAGTAGAGACCAGGAGTGCCAAACAGCCCCTGGAAGGTTTTGGCCTGGGTCCCTGTACAGCCCTGGGGAGGTCCTCACTTCCCTCCTCTCCCTGTTGATGTACCTAATCTTTCCTTTGGCTTGTTTAATTTCTGCTTGCTGATTTTTAAGAGCTCATAGTATGTGATATGAATTAAGTCTGTTTGTCCCCATATCAGTTTTGTGAGGATATTTTTTGCTACCAAAGTGTTTAAATTTTATACAGTTCAATAGTTCCACCTTTTATTTTACAGATTTCCAACTTTGGTTAAGAAAGTCTCCTGGTTCCTGGGGGGTGGGGTGGGGGAGTGGGATGGTGATGATTTAATGTGGCAGCCTCCTCTTCCCTTCCTATCCCCTTCTTAAGATGTCTCCTTCTTGTGTGTGAGTGTGTGTGTGCTAGAGAGGGACTGATTTCTGCTTGTCAATTTGTAAGCACTCTTCATATAGTATAACCATTAACTCTATGCTGTCCTCAGTTTTGCAGACATTTCCCCAAGCCTGTTGTATATGGACTTGCAAAGGTTTTTCAGTGCTCTGCAAATATATCCATCTTGTATTTCATGTTGTTGTTAGGTGCCATCAAGTTGGTTCTGACTCATAGCAGCCCTATGCACAACAAAACAAAACATTTTCCCATCCTGTGCCATCTTCACAATGGCTGTTCCTGTTCCAGGAGCCCATTGTTACTGCCACTATGTAAATCCATCACCTTGGGGGTCTTCCTCTTTTTCATTGATCCTCCACTTTACCAAGCATGATGACCTTCTCCAGGGACTGGTTCCTCCTGATAACGTGTGTGAAGTATGAGAGTCTCACCATCCTGGCTTCTGAGAAGCGTTCGTAGATCCCGGGTTTCCAAGAAGGAACCCTGGTGGTGCAGTGCATTAAGTGCTGGGCTGGTGGCAGGTTCTCCAAGGGAGAAAGATGAGGCTGTCTGCTGCTCCCTTATAGATTTACAGCCTCAGAAACCCATCGCAGTGGGTTATACCTATTAATCCTATGCTACTTTATTGATTTTCTTTATAATGTTGTTTACCACAGTGGAACTTCAGCTGTTAGATTTTATGAAAATATGTCCATCTTGTATTTATTTCATCGATCGAAGGGAGGTCTCCGGCTACCAGAGGAGGAAGTGCCCCCCCCTCCGCCTCCCCCGAGTCCTTATCTAGCAGCTTCGTCCTTCCCACAGGTTGAGCACATATAAGCATCCGATCCGAACGAGCGGCCCCACAGTGTCACTATGTTCCCACTGTGCCCACTGCTGCTGGCCCTGGTCCTGGCGATCGCCCCCGGTGTCCGGGGCATCTGCCCGGTGCCCGCCGACCTCAAGAACGCGGACGGCACGCGCACGTGCGCCAAGCTGTACGACAAGAGCGACGCCTACTACGAGAACTGCTGCCAGGGCGCCGAGCTGTCCGTGGAGCCGGGCGCCGACCTGCCCTTCCTGCCTTCCAACTGGGGCAACACCGCCTCCTCTCTGGTGGTGGCTCCGCGCTGCGAGCTCACTGTGTGGTCCGTCCGCGGCAAGGGCGGCAAGACACGCAAGTTCTCGGCCGGCGCCTACCCACGCCTGGAGGAGTACCGCCGGGGCATCTTCGGCGACTGGGCCAACTCCATCTCTGCGCTCTATTGCAGGTGCGCCCGCCCCCCGCCCGCAGATCCTCCTCCAAAGCCCCCATTCCAGGCCCGGCCCCACCCCTGCCACAAACCCCCAGATCCACCATTCAAGCCCCACAGCTTGACAGACCAGACCTCTGAGCCCCTGGCCCAAATTAGGAGACCCTAGAACCACTCCTGGTGTGGTGCTGTGGGATAAACAGTGGACTGCTAACCATAAGGTTGGTGGTTCAAATCCACCAGCTGCTCCTTAGAAGCGCTATTCAGGGTCGCTTTAAGTCAGAACCACTCGAGGGCACTTGACAACAAGAACTGAACCAGTCCTGAGCCACACACACACACACACACACACACTTGAGAGTACATACCCCAGCTCCTTTCTTTGCCAACCCCATGGTCCCCAGATGGTTCAGACCCAGCTCAAGTATTCCCAGATTCCCAGCCCCCATTCTCGGAGCCCCCCCCCTCAAAAAAAAACACCCATCCTGAATCACCCATCCATCCACCACCCTCCTACAGCTGCTCTTTCCCCAGAGGGCTGACTAACTTGGGGCTGGGGAGCACACCACGCCCTATCACCTTGGAACCCCCAGAACCAAAGCTACTTCCCACTAGCTCATGTCCCTGTACCCTCTGATCCTGGAGCACCCAGACACAGCTCTGGGACTCCTAGTCTCAAAATCTGACCTCAAGTGCCCAGATTTTAGGAAGCCCTTATGCTCCCCACCCCCTGGAACCTCCTAGATCTGCCTTAGCCCCGCAAACAGTCCCACAGCCCCTTCTCAGGCTTCCAAAGGCCCCACCCTGCTCTCACCTACCCAAGTTCACAGACCATGGGACCCTAGATCCAGCCTTGGCACCCCTCCCTAACCAGCTCCCAACTCCCAGAGCAAGACCCCAGCTTTTAAATTTGTAACTTCAGACCCAGCTTCCCCACCCCCACCCCACGTCAGCCTTCTAGAACTCTCAGACCCTGTATCTCTCAGCACATGGAACCCCGGGGTGATCATCTTTTTAAAATTCTGTTGCAGGTGCTACTGATGCCTGGGAGGTCCCTCATCCCCAATCTCACCTGACCTTGTCCCTGAGGGCTGCTGAGGGTACGGCCACCCAAGACAAAGATCCCTGCCTGCCTGCCCCTTACTCTCCCTTCCCTGCAATACAGCCCTTCTGAAGTGTTCCATTTGCCATGTGCTTGTGCTTGTAAAGGGGACTGGGAGTTAGCTGAGTAGTCAGAGACACACACCCACAGAAGGACAAGTGTGTTTCCCAGTATGCAAGAGCGCTCTTGGTGGTCGTTACACACTGAAATGTTTCCCACACTTTTTCTAACTAGCTGCTTCCCTGAGTACCACCCAGCTGCTCTGGTACCCATGGGATTGACTGAACTTCTCATGACTTGGCAGTTAAAAAGGCTAAAGCCTGGCATAGCAGGGAACCTTCCAAGACCTGCCCCAGACTGGGACCAGGAGCTATTGAATGATCTGACTGGAACTCGGGCCTTAACTAAACAATTAACCAGTTGCCAGCAAGTGGATTCTAAGTTATGGCCACTCCATGTGTTGCAGAGCAGAACTGTGCTCCATTGGGTCTTCAGGGCTATAGGCCTTATTGTTGTTGTTGTTAAGTGCCGTTATTAAGACAGTTCCAACTCATAGTAGTAACCCTGTATAGGGATTTCTAGGAGCAGCTGGTGAGTTTGAACTGCTAACCTTATAGTTCAAACCGACCTTGCCATCCAGTGCTTATCCTACAGTGCCACACCAGAACTCCTCAGGCCTTGTTGTTGCTGTTAAGTGCCATTGAGTCAGTTCTGACTCATAGTGACCCTGTATAGGGTTTCCGAGGAGCAGCTGGTGAGTTTGAAGCACCGACCTTGCAGTTCAAATGACTTTGCAGTCTGGCACATTAATCCACAGCGCTACACCAGGTCTTAAGAGTTATTAAAAACTTCATCCCTCTCCTGCCCAACAGCTGGATGACACTTTAATTGAAATTTGTTTATTTCTGTTCAGGTTGTAATTTGTCCCCACACCACCCCATCACCTCATTTGGGAATGAAGGTCCTTGATGGATATCAGGGCTTGGGGGACCTGGAAGAGTTAAAGAAGGGAAATGAAGGTCCTAGGGAGCAGAGAAGTCCTGGTGTAGTGCTGTAGGATAAGCACTGGACTACTAACTAAAAGGTTGGCAGTTCAAACCCACGAGCCACTCAGTGGGAGAAAGATGAACCTGTTGTCTGCTTCCATAAAGAATGACAATCTCAGAAATTTACATAGGGCTGAAATCAACTTGATGGTAGTGAGTTTGTTTCAGTTTTGAGGGAATGAAGAGGTGTGGGGACAATTCTGGGTGGTGGTGGTGATGTGCCATGGAGTCAGTTCCGACCCATAGCGACCCTGTACAGGGTTTCCGAGGCTGTAAATCTTCACGGGGGCAGAAAGCCTCATCTTTCTCCCGCGGAATAGCTGGTAGTTTCGAACTGCTGACCTTGCGGTTCGCAGCCCGATTCATAACCACTACGCTACCAGAGCTGGGTGGTGACAACTTGGATTAGAGGGAGAAGGAGATTCTGAGAGTTAAGAGGTATGGGATGTTAAGATGCTAAAAACAACAAAACCCCATGCCATCGAGTTGGTTCCAACTCACAATGACCCTCTGAGGTCAAAGTAGAACTTCTCCATAAGGTTTTCAGGACTGTAAATCTTTATAGGGACAGAGAGCTTCGGTTTTCTCCCCAGGACCAGTTGGTGGGTTTGAACCCCTGATTTTGCAATTAGCAGTCCCATGCTTAACCTACTGTGCCACCAGGTCTCCTGTTTAGATACTAAGCAGTCCTGAATTGGGTGTGTGTGAAGTTAGAGGACTAAGGATTCAGGGTGTGCTACTGGGATGTGAACCAGCAGAGTCCAGGAAGTCTTGGCCACATATATTTACTCACTCAGCAAAGATTTATTAAGCACCAACTATCTCTGAAGCACTGAATCAGGAATGCATGGCCCCTGCTTTCATGGAGATCAAAGAATGCAGGGGACAGGCCCCAAAGTCCTATATTCAAGGATGTACAAAGAGGTCAAATGAGAAACCAAGGGGCCCAGGCAGAAATAAAGGAGACTAGGAGGTGGTAAGTGATAAAGAGACGCTGAGGGGTTGTAAAGTATTAAGGGAACAGGTGGTGTTAAGGGCTAGGGAGGTGCTAAGGGATCTTGAGTGCTAAACAGTCAGGGTGGTACTAAGGGATCAGGGATTTCTAAAGTGTGAGGAAGATGCTACGTGTTAGGGAGGGGCTAAGGGGTGAGGGCCCGGCTAAGTGCTCAGAGAGGGGATAAGGGGTGAGTTCTGGTGTTGGCACTATAGGATAAGTGCTAGACTGTAATGTGGGTTAGAACCACAAGGTTGGCGGTTCAAACTCATCAGTCACTCCTTGGAAACCCTATACTGGGTCGGTATGAGTCCAAAGCTAATCAACAGCACTTAACAACAAGAACAAGGGGTGAAGGTGATGCTAAGGGGTCAGGGAGGGGTTGAGGGGTCAGCGAGGTGCAGGGGGTGAGGGAGGGACTGGGGGCGAGGGTCTGGAGAGGGCAGATGTGACAGGGGTCAGACAGGCATGGAATCACAATCACTCCCTCAGCTGCACAGACACGGAGGAGTCTGTCACTCTTGTCCTCCGCAGTCCACCAGCCTCCATGAGGTTCTTGGTCTTGTGCATGAAATGGATGAAGCGCACACCGGAGCCGTACTGACGAAATACGTGGGATACCTGGGGTACCCCCAGGGTTAGAAAGAAGTCTGTATTAGGGATCCATGAAACCTGCTTTCCTCCCTCCTCTCTCTGGGAACACAAGGCTGGGGGTCTCACCTGGACCCAGCGGCCAGGGGAGCCTTTCCCAGAAGCCCGGGGAGCAACATGATGCTGTGCAATCACAGTGCGGCGGTCAGCAGCCAGCAGCCAGACGTGCAGCTCATACACACAGGTGTCTAGGCGACTGTCCTCATACCTGGGGGTGGGGCCACACTGCAGCCTTGGCATCCCAGCCCCAAGCCCTGATTCCATTAGCCATTCCACACACACTCGTGGTACCCACTGGAGTGGCAAACACAGTGATGACCAAGACAGCCTCACATGATGCCCTCATGAACTCAATCCAGTGGAGAAGGAAGACTTGTCACCAAAGAAGGACAGTGAGGTCAGGGCTGAGCTGGAGGAGGCACAGATGTAGGGGTTGGAGTCAGGTATGGAGGTTGAGGCTGGGTTGGGGGAGGCGCAGGGCACTGGAGCCCAGGCATCTGCTCCAGCTGCTGGGGGAGGAGGGGGTGGCCGTGGTCAGGGAAGGCATCTGGAGGACACATGTGTGCCTGCCTTCTGAAGGATAAGGAGGAACTAGTCTCAAGAATAGAAAGGGACAGGTGTCAAAGAAAGAAGGTAAGCCTTAGCAAAGTCCCAAAGATATCAGCAACTGCCAGAGAGGTGGTCTTGGTGAGGAACTCAGAGGGGAGGTTGGGTGAGGTGCTGGGGACGACCTTCGTGTTACTGTACCAGTCCATGACGGTGATGTCTGGCTGCTCGTCATCCATCAGTTCCTCCCACAAGCCCTCAGCCAGGAGGTCCACACACTGTTGCTTCACGGTCCAGCTGAGAAAAGAGGGGGCAGAGAAGTGGGACATGGGGATCCACCGGAGCCTTTGGAACCTTGCACAGGGAGCAGGAAGCCCCCAGCATAGTAAAAGGAGGTGACTCTATATGAACACTGGACTGTAAACCACAAGGTTGGTGGTTCAAGTCCACCAGCTGCTCCGTGGGAGAATGATGAAGCTTTCTGCTCCTGCTAAGATTTACAGTCTGGGAGGCTTCCTAGGAATGGGAACCCACAGTTCTGTTCTCCCTCAGACCCACAAGTCACTATGAGGTGGAACCAACTCGATGACAGTTAACAACAACCCTCACCATCACACTCCCTGGGCACTTTTCAGTCTCAGTTCCCTTGAGCCTCTTTGAGAAGTATTCTGAGCCCCGTGTAGGAGATGAGGAAATGGACGCTCAAGATGGGACATGGCTTTTCCAAGGACAAACATCAGAGTGACAGAACTGGGATTTCAAACCAAAGGGGACTTCAGGCCATGTGATTACACCATCTGGTCCATTGTGCAAAGTGGATTCTGTTTAACGATGACCCAGGGAGACAGGTGAAGAGTAATAATAATATTAGTAATAATACTAAAAACCAAACTGCCATCAAGTGGATTCCAACTCACAGTGACCGCGTACAAGGTATCCTAGATTGTAAGCCTTTATGGGAGCAGAAAGCCTCATCTTTCTCCCCAGGAGAAGCTGGTGGGTTTCTGCTTCCAACCTTGAGGCTAGCAGTCTAGTGCTTATCCTACAGCAGCAGCCTGGCTCCTTATTAGCAATAATAGGTGCCATTTATTGAACATCTTGTTGTTGTCAGTTCTGACCCATAGCGACCCTGTATAGGGTTTCTGAGGAGCAACCTTGAATCGCTGACCTTGCGGTTCAAACTAATTTTGCACCAGTGCATTATGGTAAACCCCATGTGTGTCAGGATAGAAGTGCGCTCCATAGGGTTTTCAATGACAGATTTTGGGGGGGAAGTAGATCAACAGTTTTCTTTCCAGGCACTCTGAGGGGGAAGGGGAGAGAATCCAATGATATTTTGGTTAGTGGCAGAACTAGTTAACTATTTGCACCACTCAGGAGACTGGACCCTATGCTCTGAGTTTTATGAGCATTTCCTCCTATGACTAATCCTATTTACAGATCAGGAAACTGAGGCCCAGAGAGACAAAGTCAGTTTTTCCAGGCCCCACAATTAAGGAAGAGTACTAATGTGGCCCTGCAGGATAAGTACTGGACTACTAACTCAAAAGTTGGTAGTTCAAACCCACCAACTTCTCTAGGAACCCTATGGTGGTGGTGGTTATGTGCCGTGAAGTCAGTTCTGACTCATAGCGACCCTGTACAGGGTTTCCGAGGCTGTAAATCTTTACGGGAACAGAAAGCCTCATCTTTCTCCCGCGGAACAGCTGGTAGTTTGAAACTGCTGACCTTAAGGTTCGCAGCCCGATTCGTACCCACTATGCTACCAGAGCTCCTTAGGAACTCTATACAGAGTCACTAGTTGTGGGAACCTACTGGAAGGAAGGAAGGCTGGAGCTGGGATTCAAATTACTGAGGACCCTGGAACCTTACCTGCGGTCCGCCTGGAGCTTTTCTGTTTTAATGAACCATCCTCTGAAATTGCCTGGCAGGTGGAGCAGCAAAGGGTTAGACCGTCCAATTCGCAAGGGTCCCAATCCTCTCCCCTCAGCAGACCCTCACCCAGCACTCACCGAGAGTTTCTAAGGGCTGCCTGGTGGGACCAGTAGGGGGTGCTGGCTCATAAATATTGATGCCTAGAATGTATCAGAAGTGGCATCAGGTCTGGTTGCAGTTCCCAAACCCCACCCCCCCAACACATAGACACACATCTTCGTCATTCCTACCCCCTCTCCCATATCCTCTCCCATGCCCGACCGGCCAGGCCAAGCCAGCCTGGCAGAGATGAGTAAGCCCCCTCCCCTCCCTGCCCTGAGAATGTCTGGAGTGGGAATGGGGGAGAGGGACCATGGGATAGGAGGGGTGGGAAATGGGATGAGGGAGGGAAGGGACTGAGGAGAGACAGAGACGGAGGAACAAAGAGACCCCAAGAGACAGTGACAAGGAAACAGGTACACACAGAGAGAAATGATAAAGAGGGTCGACAGAAATGACTTACTGCCATGTATTCTGACTCACAGCGATCCTATATAACAAAGAAGAACTACTCCTTAAGGATTCCAAGACTGAAAATCTTTAAGGGAGCAAACAGCAGAGCGGCTGGTGGATTCGAACTGCCAACCTTTCGGTTCGCATCCAACTCTTATCCCAGAGAGAATGTAGAGAGAGGCACAATGACTGAAAAAGAGATAGGGATGGAGAGAAATGAGGAGGCAGAGACAGCAGGGAGAGACGTGGGTGCGTGGAGGCGGACAGAAGTCTAGACCGACTGTCGGCGTCCGCTGCGGGGCAGGAGCGGCCGCGCACCTTCGGGGTTGGGCGAGCGCAGCAGGTTGCGGTAGAGCGGCCGGCGCACGAAGATCAGCCTCCAGCTGAGGCGCGCGGGCAGCTGCAGGCTCCCGCCTGGCGGTCCCCACTCCTCCAGCACCAGCTGTCGCGCGTACGTCTCGGACGGCTGCTGGGGCTGGGGCAGCTCGGGCAGCTCCGGGGTCGCGGGCGACGGCGGCGAGGGCGGCGATGGAGGCGACGGCGGCGGCTCCAGTGGGCTCCCGTAGGCCTCCATCTCGCAGTCCAGCGCGTGTTCCTCCGGCACCTCCGCCATCCGTCGGGTCTGGGAGCCTGTGCCCGGCTGGCAGGGGTTGGGGTTAACTGGGGGCGGGAGGAGGCGGGGCTCCCCGAACGGGCGTTTAAAAGAGGGGTGTGTTGGGGTAAGGAGCCCAGCCCCCAGCCACTCCGCCCTCAGATCCGGGAGTACTGGACGCTGCCCCCTCGTTCCAGACTCAGGAATTCCGACCCCCCCAGTCCCATTCTCCTTCAGATCCAGGAGTCCGGGCTTCAGCCCCTCCTTAGTTTCCTAGGCTTCCTGTCCCAATTTCCCAAAGGCCAGTCGAGGACCCAGCGTCGGCCCTGGGAGGGAGGTGTGACAAATGAGCTAATGTCAGGGTTTACCGTTCTCTAATGAGGCCTGTCCACCTCATTAAGATCCGGCATGGCAGGATTAAAAGGGTAATTAATGAAGACCCCCCCCCCGCACTCCTCCAGGCACTCATGGGGGGGGGCGGTTAGGGTGGGATGGGGACAGGAAGCCTGGCTTCTGCTGCTTCGGTCCCTGCCCTCACCTGGGACACCCTTGGGGGCCCATTTCTTGTCCTGGAAACCAAGGGTGGAGGGGGAGATTACAAAGAGACCGGCAGTCAAGAGTCTCGTGGAAACAGAGATAACAGAGGGAAGCAGCAATCCCATCCACGGTTTTAGGGTGACAGCCCTCCTTCCTAGAAACGGCTCCCTCAGAGGTCATGAGAAGTTTGGAGTGAGGGATGGGGATATGGTAGGGTAGGAAGTCGGGGTGAGGAGGAAGTGGGTGGCAGAGGAACCAGTAGGACCAGATGTCCACAGTCACTTCCGGGACCTTGGCTACATCCCACACCCAGTTCAGGTAAGCACAGGTAAGTACAGGTACAGAGCCCTACCAATAATCAATAATCACCAGAGGGAACACTTGCTGTAGGCCAGATGCTTAAGTGCTTATAAGTGAATTAATTTCATCCTTCTAAAAATGACAATGAGGTACACGCTACTATTAATAGCCTTTTTTTTTTTTTAAAGGAAAGATTGTAACAAACAATGCATGAAGCTGTATGCCGCCTTGGCACTCTTTAGCACTTAACTCACCAACATGACAATCCAGTTTACAGATGAATTAAGTCTACCACCCTAGATGGAGTCCTGGTGTGGCGCTGTGGGTTAATGCGCCAGACTGCAAAACCATTTGAACTGCAAGGTCGGCAGTTCAAGCTCACCAGCTGCTCCTCGGAAACCCTATACAGAGTTGCTATGGGTCAGAATCGACTCAACGGCACTTAACTAACCACCCTAGATAATCAGCCACACATACTTCCATAGAGGATCCCTGCTCTAGATTCCCAAGATACACTGAACACAGAAAGATAAACTCCAGATGCTCACAGACACATGGGACTGGAACACACATCCAGATGATGATGTTTATGCCATCCAGCCCTGACTGATGTAATGCCTGCCAGGCGTTACTGATCTAAATTCCTTGGCCAAGACAATTAATGTAATACCTACATCCACCCTAGTATGCCTATCTTGCAGATGAGGAAACTGAGGCACAGAGCAGTCTAATAATTCACCCAAGGTTGCATAGCTGGTACCTGGCAAGTTGGACACACTCCCACACTGTCTTGATCAGATACTACGTGTTGTTGTTAAGTGCTGTCAAGTCAATTCTGACCCATAGTGACCCAGTATAGGGTTTCCGAGGAGCAGCTGATAAGTTTGAACCACCAACCTTGCAGTTCAAGTCCACAGCGCCACACCAGGACTCCAGATGCCAGGTACACAGATTTAAGTCACCGGGAGAAATACAGACACCAACAGGAGATTATGGTGACATTTACTGTCTGGCATGATATTGTTGTTAAATGCTGTGGAGTCAGTTCTGACTCAGCCACCTGTATAGAATTTCCGAGAAGTGACTGGTGGGTTTGAACTGCTGACCTTGCGCTTAGCAGTCCAGGGTTTATCCAACGTGAACTCATTTAATCTCACTCCAGTCCTGCCAGGTGGGAAATGGTAATAGTATTCCCATTTACAGATGAGGAAACTGAAGCAGAGAGGTGAAATGAATTAGCTAGGACCCCGGGGGCAAAGAGGAGGGAATCCATGGGAAGTGACAAACCAACCAAGCTTAGGAGACACTAGTGCCACCACACCCAGAAGTTCAGAAGATTCCCAAACTGAGAGCCTTCTACAACCCCGGCCATCACAAACACACAAACCTTCACAGTCTTGTCCCCACCACCCACCCAGCCTGCCTCACGGGAGGAGGAGGAAAGGGTCCATTCTAGAGGAGTTCCTGGTAAGTGGTGGCAGGATGTTCAGAATCCAGGTCGGGGTGTGACAGGGAGCCCGAAGAATGCAAGCAGGAAAAGCAGCAAGGAGACTGGCCGAGGGTGTGCAATGGGGTCTGAGGATTTTTCTCTTCTTAAGACACAATGGTGATTTTTTTTTTTTTTTTTTATAAATCAAGAAATGAGGATCAACCTCTCATTGTCCAAAGTAAGCAAGAACTGTCAAATACATCAGTAAGATAACTCGAAATTCTCTGTTGTTGTTGTGTGCTGCGGAGTTGGTTCCGACTCATAGCGACCCTGTACAGGGTTTCCAAAGCTGTACATCTTTACGGGAGCGGAAAGCCTCATCTTTCTCCCACGGAACAGCTGGTAGTTTTGAACTGCTGACCTTGAGGTTCGCAGCCCGATTCATAGCCACTACGCTACCAGAGCTCTACTTTCTGATTTAGGGCCTATTTCAAGAAGTTTGTGGGGAAATGCCATTATCTTTTCATTCTGTTTTCCATGAACTTTCCTTGCATACTACCTTGCGTAGTATTTGCCCTTTTGTGACTGACATATTTTGCTTGTTTTCAAGATCCATATGTATTTTTACATCATCTGGGCTCCTCCTCCCCTCTACTCCTGCTTCTTGCCCCCACATGCATACGGCAGAGAGGTCTTTCTAAAGCCCAAATTCAGTCACTCTCTCACTTAAATCTTCCATGATTCCCCAGTGCGTTTGTTGTGTTCCTGTTGCTAAGTGCCGACACATCAGTTCTGACTCATAGCGACCCTAGTGACAGAAAGCTGAGGAGCGACTGGTGGGTTTGAACCACCAACCTTTTGGTTAGCAGTTCAGTGCTTATCCTACAGCTCCACACCAGTGTCCTTGTTGCTGTTAAGTGCCATTGAGTCAGTTCCGAATCACAGTGACCCTATATAGGGTTTCTGAGGAGCGAAGAATGAGTTTGAACCTCCAACATTTTGATTACCAGTCCTGTGTTTATCTTCCAGCACCACACTAATGCCCTTAGGGGAAAACATATCTAGACCTTTTGCTGGCATTCAAGGCCTGGATTTTTGAATCCTGCCTCAGTGATCTGCTCTCTCCCATATCTGCTGTATTCATGCTCTCTACATCTCCTGCATAGCTCCATGGTTACCAAATTCACCTGGGGAACTTACGTTAAAAATGTATGTTTCCCAGTGCTAGCTCCAGAAGTCTGGTTCAATCCCGCTGGGATGGACCCCAGAGTCTGCAGTTTAAGAAACCCATTCCCCACTCAGGCAATTCCGAAGATTCCCAGCATACTGTGAGAACCACTTTGACTCCAATCTGAGAGAGGGAATCAGAGGAATCAAGTGGATTCCAATGTTAAATCATAAACTTCTGTTCTCTCCCCCTTGTGGTGGTTATTATTTGAAACAAAACACTGCCATTCCGTGATCAGTTTCAGATGGGACGCTTACATGCAGTTTTCATTGACTGATTATCAGAAGTAGTTCACCAGGCCTTTCTTCCTCATCTGTCTTAGACTGGAAACTCTGCTGAGACCTGTTTGGCATCAGAGCAGCACACATGCGTTCATGGGCGTGTCTGTGGTGGTGCACTGGCCAGAAATTGAACTCAGGTCTCTTTTATAGAAGTGAGAAATCTACCACCACTGTCCCTCTCCCCGCCTAAGAAGCCAGTAAGGATCCCAGCATGGGGCCATACTCAGCCTCTGAAAGTCTACTTTCCTAACAAGCCAAAGCTGGGTGACCAAGCCCTCCTGAAAAACCACTTCGCACATATCATGGAACATTAAAAAGCATGAGCAATGGTGAGGCCACTTTGGAAAACAATTTGGTAATATCTTAAACAACCAGTCATGAATTCACCCTGTAACCCAGCCATCCCAACCCTAAATATTTCACCAAGAGAAATGAAAGCACATGTCTAAGCGAAGTCCTGTACCCAGTATTTATGGCACTGTTTTTGATCATAATAGCTCCAAACTGGAAATCACCCAAACGTCCATCAACAAGTGACTGGATAAACAGTCTGTGGGTATAGCCACACAATGAAATACTGCTCATCAAGAAAAAGGAACGGACTATTAAAGCACACAACAACACGGAGAGCCCTAAAAACCACAATGCAGACAGACACAGTTGGACAAAAGAGCACATATCTTATACTATTTTGGAAAAGCCTAAAATCCTGGTGTGGTGCTATGGGATAAGCCCTGGACAGATCATCGCAAGGCTGATGATTCAAACTCACCTGCCATTCTCAGGAACCCTATACAGGATCACTATGAGTTGGAACCAACTTGATGGCACTTACCAACAGGCTATACCCTAAAGAATTTAATTGAAACTGGAGACTCAACCGATACTCACCGATATTCTTGTAGCATTAGTCACACTAGCCAAAGGGTGGAACCAGCCCAAATGTCCCAATAGATGAAAATGTGGTACAAACATACAATGGAATATTACTCAGTCCTAAAAAAGGATGGTGTTCTGGTACAAGTTACAACATGGACGAAACACAAAAAAACAAATACTGCCTGATCCCACTTATATGAATATATAGAGTAGGCAAATATATAGGCAGAACATAGATGAGTGATTAACAGGGGCTACCACTCTGGTAGCGTAGTGGTTACAAATCGGGCTGCGAACCTTAAGGTCAGCAGTTCGAAACTACCAGCCGCTCCATGGGAGAAAGATGAGGCTTTCTGCTCCCTTAAAGATTTACAGCCTCGGAAACCCTGTACAAGGTCGCTATGAGTCGGAACCGACTCCACGGCACATAACAACAACGACACTGGGAGGAGGGAATGGGGAAGAATTGCCTAATGGATCCTGAGTTTCTGTTTGGGATGATGAAAAAGTTTTGGAAACGAATAGTGGTGAATAATATTCAAACTATTAGCCCTCGTGTGGCGCTGTAGGATAATCACTGGACTGGTAACCATACGTCAGCAGTTCAAACCCACCAATTGCTCTTGGAAATCCTATGTTGTTGCTGTTAAGTGTCATTGAGTTGATCCTGGCCCATAGTGACCCTGTATAGGGTTTCTGAGGAGCGGCTGATGAGCTTGAACCACTAACCTTGCAGTTCAAATGGCTTTGCAGTCTGGTGCATTAACCCACAGTGCCACACCAGGACTCCTGGAAATCCTATAGAGAGTCTCTATTGGAGTCCTGGTGTGGCATTGTGGAATAAGCATTGGACTGCTAACCACAAGGCTGGCGGTTCAAACTCACTAGATGCTTCTCAGAAACCCTATACAGGGTCGCTAAGAGTTGGAACCAACTGAACTTAAAACACCAATAACAATGAGTCTGAACCAACCAAGAGCACACCACTACAATAATATGATCACAATTAGTGTCACTGAATTGTATACCCCCAAAGGGTTAAAATGGCAATTTTTGTTATATATTTCTATCACAATAAAAAAAAAAAAACTGGTTGTATTATATTTAAATAATATCTCAGTAAGAAGCAAAATTAAAAGAATAAGGAAACCCTCTCTACATTCTACTAAGGAAATGGCTCCAGACTTATTGTTAAATAAGGAGTCCTGGTGCAGTGCTGTAGGATAAGCACTGGACTGTTTACCAGTCATTCCTCAAAAACCCTATACAGGGTCACTAAGAGTCAGAACTGACTCAATGACACTTCACAACAACAACAATAACAGCATTGTTAAATAAAAGCAACAAGATAAAGAGGGGTGGACATCCTATGTTACTATTTTTGTGAAGAAAAAACTGCAAATAGTTGTCAGATTCCTTCTAGAAGGAGACCCAAGAAAACCAACAGCCTCTGGGCCTGTGTGCCCATGGTTGGAACAGAGGACAGAGGAAAATGATTTTATTCTATGCCTTTTGTATCACTTATGTGTATTACTTCTACTAAAAAATAATCATAATTTTTAAAAAGCAAGCAAGAATTTCATGACTTCCCAATGCCCCACTTTTCATTCTTTCAACAACAATTTCATTAAGCACTATGGTGGCCTTTGAATTGTGGTGTTGGAGGAGAATACTAAAATACCATGGGCTGCCAAAAGAATCAATAGATCTGTTTTGGAAGAAGTGCAGCCAGAGTGCTCCTTAGAGGCCAAGATGGCCCAACTTTGTCTCTCAGACTTTGGACATATTATCAGGAGGAAACAGTCGCTAGAGAAGGATATCATGCTTGGTAAAATGGAGGGTCAGAGAAAAAGAGAAAGAGGAAGACCCCCAACGAGATGGATTGGCCAGGTGGCAGCATCGATGGACTCAAGTGTGGCAACAGTCGTGAGGTTGGCCCAGGATCGGACATTGCTTCGTTCTGCTGTGCATGGGGTTGCTATGAGTCGGTTCCAACTTGATGGCACCTAACAACAACAATGGTGGCCAAGCCATATATATTGGGGATACAGTGGTGAAAGAATAAACTCAGTTCCTGTTCCCATGGGGTTTACACCCCAGAGAGAAGAGGGAGGGTCTCAACATGACAAGGGACAACAAGTCACAGGGCTATTCTCCCATTGCTTCCTGATGCAGCAGGTCTTGGATGGGGTCTGAGAATTTGCATTTCTAGCATCAGGTGATGCTGTCTGTTACTGCTGATCCAGGGTCCCATAGTTAAGAGCCACCTCCCCAGTGACTAGGAAGATTCTGGGTCATCTTTCTGTGATCCTAAGTGTTCCATTTGTAAGCTGGGGCTTAGTCCTCCCCACGGTGCTGCTGACACTCTCCCTGTCACACAGCACCCCAGCTTTTTGTTGGTGTTTAAGCCCACAATTTCCTTCTCAGCTCAGGGCCTTTGCCCCAGCCTTCCCTTCTGTCTGGAAGCTTGCTCTTCCCATTCTTCCATCATCTCCATTCAATTTTCATCTCTTCATATCGTACACATCCTCTGCACCTTGCTTTTCCCCACCTAACAGTATATAAGGGGGCTGCAAAAAGTTTGTGGAAAAGTCAATGAAAAGATCATGGAATTTCTCCACCAACTTTTTGACCTTGGTGAGTGTTCTCTATTGGTGCATAAAAGGTACCTGGGCCCACCAGGTAGGTAGGTTTTCCACTGGGCTATGCAATCCTGGTGATGCAGTAGTTAAGCACTCAGTTGCTAACTAAAAAGTTCTGGTTCAAACCCACCAGCTGTTCCATAGGAGAAAGATGTGGCCGTCTGCTTCCATAAAGTGTACAGCCTTGGAAACCCTATGAGGCGATTCATAGGGTCGCTATGAGTCAGAATCAACTTGATGACCATGGCTTTGGTATTTGGCTTGCTCTTCTCTGTGGCCACATCCTGGTGTTCTGAGCCTGATTTGTAAATGTATGAATATGTAGATGTGTTCACTGGGGAATGATCTGTCTCACTCCTGGAGAATGTCAGCCTCACAAGGGTGGGGTGGGCCCTGGGTGGGTTTGTTTTTGTGTTCCCAGCACTGACCTGGCACAGAATCAAAATCAAATGTTTTCTGGGCGAGAGGGCAAGAGAGCCCGGCCCCAGGTAGGAGGATGAGGGGCTGGCTCTTACTTCTTCCACCACAAAACTTGTATCACGCTCCTGGGAGCCAAGTGGCCATACTAATGCCAACTGAAACTCTAGCTCCTATCCCTTCCCCTGCTCCAGCTATCTAGGACGGAGCAGACAAGCCCCTCTTCCGGCTGTGCTGGTAACTCCAAATCGCTGACCTTATGGTTCACAGTCCAGTGCTTACCGTACAGAACCACTGTGCTCCCCTCTCAGCGTTTAGGAGACTCAAAGTCCAAATGCAGGGCAACAGCTCTTAGAGGAAGGCATGCTTTCTGTTTACTCTGGTGTTTTTTATTTTCAGCTTCTATCCCAAGCTTCCTTGGAAATCATACTGTTTTTAACTTCTATTCATTTATACTCGCTTAACCTGTTTATATCTCAAAATACATTGTTTTAAGACACACCCTAAACTAATGCGTTTCTATTAGCATAGCAAAGAAAATCCATCTCTGAATAGGATTATAACCACAGATGCAGTCATGGTCATTTCAAACCCCAAGGTCGGCAGTTCAAACCCATCAGCCACTCCTTGGAAACTTTATACAGGTTCACTAGGAATTGAAATCCACTGGACTGTACTTAACAACAGCAGTAGTAGTCAGGGGCCTTTGAGTTGACGTCGATATTGCTGGTCCTGTGCCACCCTCATAACTGTTGATATGCGTGAGCCCATTGCTGCTGCCACTGTGCCAATCCATCTCTCTGGAGGTCTTCCTTTTTTTCACTGAACCTCCACTTTACCAAGCATAATGTCCTTCTCCTGGGACTCGTCCCTCCTGATAACGGGTCCAAAGTATGAGAGACAAAGTCTCAGCATCCCGGCTTCTAAGGAGCATTCTGGCTGTAATTCTTCCCACACAAATTTGTTTATTCTTCTGTCAGGCCATGGTACTTTCAATATTCCACAGTTCTAAGTGTTAGGATTTATGACACAATTCAGTCCATACATCCTACCCTTGGCCCCTCCGTGACTAAAATTCAATTCCTCCCCAGAGCAAAACATATTCACCCCATCGCATCATTTCTGAAGTCTTAAATCATCTGCAAATCCAGATTCTCATCTTCTGAATTGTCTTAATAAGATATGGATGGAATTTTAGGCATATTGCATCCATGGGCAAAATTCATCTTCATTTGTGAACCTATGGAATCTAGAATACAAATCTGCTTCCAAAGCACAATGGTGGAACAGGCATATAGTTGTTGTTGTTTTGTTGTTAAGTGCCGTCGAGTCGGTTCCGACCCATAGCGACCCTGAATAGGGTTTCCGAGGCTGTAAATCTTTACGGGAGCAGATCGCCTCATCTTTCTCCCGCGGAGCAGCTGGTAGTTTCGAACTGCTGACCTTCCGGATCGCAGCCCGATTCGTAACCACTACGCTACCAGAGCTCCTTAGGCATATAGTAGACACTTCCATTATAAATGGGAGAAACTGGAGAAAACAAAGGAATAATAGGTACCAAGCAAGTCCAAAACCCAGCTGAAAAAGTTACATTAGCTCTCTGGATTGGAAAAGAATCCAGTGTTTGTTGGGACCATCTGGGCAAGGGTTCTCTTGCTCCCAAGACTCTGGGTGTTGGCCGTGTTCTCCGGATTCAGGGTGAAGACCCCTAGGCCCTGGGCTTTAGCCTTACTCTCCAGGCTCGCTGCCATGGTGTGATAGTTAAAATTTTTGTGTCAACTATGCTGGACCAGGATTCTCAGTGGTTTGGCAGTTAAAATGTGTGAATATTCTGGGAGCAGCCAATAATTGAAAGGAAGTTTCCTGGGTCTGGCAGGAGTTGCTACAAATATATATGGATGCTGTGGGAAAAGTGGTTACTTTGAGTTGGGCCTGGAGTCTGCATCTGCCTTTTCATCTGACCTCCGGTTCTTTGGACTTCACCAAAGGCCTGCCATTTGTCATTGTTGTTAAGTGACACTGAGTTAGTACCAACTCATAGCAATCTTATGCACAATAGAAGGTAACACTGCCCGGTCCTACACCAACCATGACAGCGATTGCTGCTGCCACTGTGCCAATCCATCTCATTGGGGGAGGCTTCATCTTTTTCTCCGAACCTCCGCTTTACCAAGCATGATGTCCTTCACCAGGGACTGGTCCCTCCTGATATGTCTGAAGGTAGGATCTCATACTCTGCTCATGCTCTTCCTTCTTGATGGTCCTGGGATCATCTGTTCCTGAAATGAAACGTTATCTACTCCTTCCTTTTAGCTACACATCTTCTACCATTACAATTGTGACAATTGCAATTAATCCTGCTAACAATTACTCACAATTGAGTCAGAAAATCCTACCACCTGGTTTCCTTTTGCAGAGTTCATTTTAAAGTCCATCTCTTTCCTCTCACACTTTACTGTAAGCAGCCAGGAGAAACCGTACGGCCCCTTTAAGATGTATCTGGCTTAGAAATCTCAAGTTCATCACTTACAAGTTCTACCTTCCACCAATCATTTGAGCTCGAGCTCAACAAGCTTCTTACCACTGCATAAAATGCATCACTTTCCCTCCATTGTCCAATCGCAGGGTCATCATTTTCTTTTAAAGCCTCACCAGAAGCAACAGAATGTCCACATGTCTAGCACTGTTCAGCTGATGGTGCCATATACATTCACTAAGATGATAGAATCGTTCTCTGGTGCTCTTCTCACCTTCTTCTGAGCCCTCACCAGAATGGCCTTTGTCTTCCATAATTCCACCAAGTAGCCTCTTCAAGGCAATCTAGGCTTTTACTATGAAAACTCTTTCATCCTCTTAAGACTCTTAAAAGTGCCATCACCTTAAAACTCTTCCAGCCTCTATCCATTATTCAATTCCAAAACTGTTCTACACTTAAGTTATTTGTTAGAGCACCATCCCCCTCTGCCGGTATTAAATTTTGCCTTAATTTTTTAGTGTTGCTATAACAGAAATACCAAAAGTAGGTGGCTTGAATGGTCAGAAATTTATTGTCACATAACTTTGGAGTCTAGATGTCCAAATCTTGGGGGAAGATTCTTGGTCTTTTTTTCAGCTTCTACTAGGTTCCTTAAGGAGCTCTGGTAGCGTAGTGGTTACGAGTCGGGCTGCCAACTTCAAGGTCAGCAGTTCGAAACTACCAGTGGTTCCACGGGAGAAAGATGAGGCGTTCTGTTTCTGTAAAGATTTACAGCCTCGGAAACCCTGTGCAGGGTCACTATGAGTCGGAACCGTCTCCAAGGTACTTAACAACAACTAGGGTCCTTGGTGGTCATGTGACTTATGTCTTCCCCATCTGTTTGTTTGCTTGCTTAATCTGCTTTTATGTGTCAGAATAGAGGGATTTAAAACAAGCCCTAAGCTAGCTAATACTGTATCATTAACATAACAAAGAAAATCCATTTCCCAGATGGCATTGTAACCATAGGTGTAGTAGTTAAGATTTATAACACACATTTTTGGGGTACATAATTCAATCCATAATAAAAGATCATCCAGGATGATCTCATCTGGAGAGTTTTAATTATACCTGCAAAACCCCTTCTTACAAATAGGTTACTTTCATACCATCCAGGTCTGAAATATCTTTTGGAAGGCCACCATTCAGCCCTCTACAAGGTTTGTTGTTAGTTGTGGGGGTTTTTTAGCGCTGCTAAGTCCATTTTGTCCCATAGAGATCCTATGTGCAATAGAACATAACACCGCGCCCGGTTGTGTGCCTTCCTCACAACTGCTGCTGGGTTTGAGCTCGCTGTTGTACCCACTATGTCAACCCACTGTTTGAGGGCCTTCCTCTTTTTTCAGTGACCTTCTACTTTTTTAAATATTTTATTGTGAATTATGTGATAGTTTACATGGGAGAACATTAGTTTTACATTCATCCAATCGTATGTCGTTTCATTGCCATGATTACAGTCCCCTCCATGCATCATCAATCAACTACAAGTCTGCCCTGATCTGTCAGCACACAGCCCCTCTCCCTCTCTGGGTCTAAAGTCCCCAGCTGCTCCATCTCTCCACATCATCGCCTCTGCCTCCATCTCAGCCATCACTGCTTCTCTGGGTAGGGTCCCGCTCTCCACTCTTCTCCCTTGATGGTCGCAGGGATCTCTGCTCCTATGCTGAAAAGTCAATCACTCCCCTCCTTGCTACAAAATGTCTACCTTTACATTTCCAATCCTCACAATCAGTCCTGATAACAATTATTCACTATTGTCTCACAAGAGACCTATCTGCATTTCATCAGCCCCGCCTAGACATACTGGATACTGCTCACTGGAGATTCTGCCTTCCTCCACGCCCTCTGGCTCTAGGTTCCCTCTTGAAAGCTTGTAAGCCAGTCACTTCTTGTTTTTGTAGCTCTTCCATTTTGGATAGCCAATGTCCATGTTGTCCATCCCTGTCTACTCTGTGTATGGAGTGGGTGGGAATGATCCTCGCTGTAAAGATTTGTTCCCTCTTTTGCATTACTGCATCCATAGGTGTAGGTCAAGTTCATCAAACTGTATCAGATTACTCTTTTTTTCCTCTTCTTTGTTCTTCTGGTTGAGCTCTGATTATCCAGTCATTGAAGCCAGGTCAAGTGGGTATTATCTGCAAGTGTGGGTGTTCTTGTGCATATGCCCTCTCTTCTTAGCCGGATGCTTCACTCTCCACTCTAGTCCTCTGTGGCTATATCAGTGACCTTCTACTTTATCAAGCATGATGCTTCCAACGAATCGTTAAGGCAGGGCTGTAATTCTCAGGAGTTTGGCAGTTATGTAATGATGTAGTCATCTTCCATTTTGTGATCTGATGTAACCACCTCCGTGGTGTGATATGATGTGATTAGACAATCAGTCGTCAGGGGAGTTTCCTTGGCGGCGTGGACTGCATCCAATATATGCGGATCTTCTGGCAAAGCTCCTGCTTCTGGCTCATTATCATCTGACCTCCTGTTCTTGAGTCTTGAGCCACTGGCTTGCCATACGTCCTCTGACCTCCTGATCTTGGGTTCTTCAGTCCCTGCAGCTACATGAGTATGAAGAAGGCTGCAGACTGGCACCTGACCCACAGGACTGGGACTTGGTGGCTTCTATAGCCTTACCCATCAGATTGTCATACTGTGGTGGTTCGCATGCTTCTGTGACACCAGAAGCTATGCCTCTGGTATTTTAAATACCACCGGGAACACCCATCATGGACAAGTTTTAACAGAGCACCCAGACTAAGACAGACTAGGAAGGAGAGACAGAGTACTTTGAATGGTTAACCACTAAAAAAAACAACATTGTGAATAGCAGTGGTACACTCCGGAAGAGGAGTGCCTCAGGTTGGAAGGCACTCAAAATACAGCTGGAGAAGAGCTGTCTCTTTAAAGTAGAGTTGACCATGATGATGTGAATAGAGTAAAGCCTTCAGGACTTCCCTTTGCTGATGGGACACAACTCAAAAAGAGAAATAGCTGCAAATAGCCATTAACAATCAAAACATGGAATTATGAATCTAGGGAAATTGGAAGTTGTCAAAAATGAAATGGAACACATAAAGATCTGTATCCTAGGCATTAGTGAGCTGAGATGGACTGGTATTGGCTATTTATTGGATCAAACAATCAAAGGGTTTACTATGTTGAGAATGACAAATTCAAGAGGAATGGCCTTGCATTCATCATCAAAAAGAACATTTCAAGATCTATCATCTTGAAGTACAATGCTGTTTGTGATAGGATAATATCCATAAGCCTACAAGGAAGACTACTTAATACCACTGTTATTCAAACTTATGTACCAACAGCTAAAGCCAATAATGATGATATTGAAGAATTCTACCAACTTCCTCAGTCTGATACTGATCAAACATGCAATCAAAATGCATTGATAATTACTGGTGATTGGAATTGAAAGGTTGGAAAGAAAGAGGACGGATCACTAGTTGGAAAATATGACTTTGGTGATAGAAATGATGCTACATGATCACATGATAGCATTTTGCTAATCCAATGACTTATTCATTGCAAATACCTTTTTAGAACAGTATAAAGGTGACTATACACATGGACCTCACTGGATGGACACAGGAATCAAATTGACTACATCTGTGTAAAGAAACAAAGGAAAAGCTCAATATCATCAACCAAAACAGGCCCGGGGCAGACTGTGGAACAGACCATCAATTGCATGTATGCAAGTTCAGGCTGAAGCTGAAGGAAATCCAAACAAGTCCACAAGAGCCACCCTATGACATTGAATATATCCCACCTGAACTTATAGACCATCTCAAAAACAGACTCAATAGATTAGACACTAGTGATCTAAGACCAGAAGAGCTGTGAGATGACATCAAGAACATCATACAGGAAGAAAGCAAAAGGTCACTAAAAAAGATAAGAAAGAACGAAAAGACCAAAATGGATGTCAGAAGAGACTCTGAACCTCACTTTTGCGTGTGGAGAAGCTAAAGCAAATGGAAGAAATGGAGAAGCAAAAGAGTTGAACGAAAATGTCAAAGGGCAGCTAGAGAAGACTAAGTCAAGAATGATAATGAAATGTACAAAGCCAGAGTTAGAAAACCAAAAGGGAAAGAACACACTCAACATTTCTCAAGCTTGGAATACTGAAGGACTCTATGGACAAAATATTGAATGATACAGAAAGTTCATAAGAAGATGGAAGGAATAAACAGAGTCTCTGTACCAAAAAGAAATGGTCGATGC